CACTGAACACACAGAACACTGAACACAGAACACACTGAACACAGAGAACACTACACACTGAACACACTGAACACACTGAATACACTGAACACAGAACACACTGAACACACTGAACACTGAACACACTGAACACTGAACACACTGAACACTGAACACACTGAACACTGAACACACTGAACACTGAACACACTGAACACTGAACACACTGAACACTGAACACACTGAACACTGAACACACTGAACACTGAACACACTGAACACTGAACACACTGAACACTGAACACACTGAACACTGAACACACTGAACACTGAACACACTGAACACTGAACACACTGAACACTGAACACACTGAACACTGAACACACTGAACACTGAACACACTGAACACTGAACACACTGAACACTGAACACACTGAACACTGAACACACTGAACACTGAACACACTGAACACTGAACACACTGAACACTGAACACACTGAACACTGAACACACTGAACACTGAACACACTGAACACTGAACACACTGAACACTGAACACACTGAACACTGAACACACTGAACACTGAACACACTGAACACTGAACACACTGAACACTGAACACACTGAACACTGAACACACTGAACACTGAACACACTGAACACTGAACACACTGAACACTGAACACACTGAACACTGAACACACTGAACACTGAACACACTGAACACTGAACACACTGAACACTGAACACACTGAACACTGAACACACTGAACACTGAACACACTGAACACTGAACACACTGAACACTGAACACACTGAACACTGAACACACTGAACACTGAACACACTGAACACTGAACACACTGAACACTGAACACACTGAACACTGAACACACTGAACACTGAACACACTGAACACTGAACACACTGAACACTGAACACACTGAACACTGAACACACTGAACACTGAACACACTGAACACTGAACACACTGAACACTGAACACACTGAACACTGAACACACTGAACACTGAACACACTGAACACTGAACACACTGAACACTGAACACACTGAACACTGAACACACTGAACACTGAACACACTGAACACTGAACACACTGAACACTGAACACACTGAACACTGAACACACTGAACACTGAACACACTGAACACTGAACACACTGAACACTGAACACACTGAACACTGAACACACTGAACACTGAACACACTGAACACTGAACACACTGAACACTGAACACACTGAACACTGAACACACTGAACACTGAACACACTGAACACTGAACACACTGAACACTGAACACACTGAACACTGAACACACTGAACACTGAACACACTGAACACTGAACACACTGAACACTGAACACACTGAACACTGAACACACTGAACACTGAACACACTGAACACTGAACACACTGAACACTGAACACACTGAACACTGAACACACTGAACACTGAACACACTGAACACTGAACACACTGAACACTGAACACACTGAACACTGAACACACTGAACACTGAACACACTGAACACTGAACACACTGAACACTGAACACACTGAACACTGAACACACTGAACACTGAACACACTGAACACTGAACACACTGAACACTGAACACACTGAACACTGAACACACTGAACACTGAACACACTGAACACTGAACACACTGAACACTGAACACACTGAACACTGAACACACTGAACACTGAACACACTGAACACTGAACACACTGAACACTGAACACACTGAACACTGAACACACTGAACACTGAACACACTGAACACTGAACACACTGAACACTGAACACACTGAACACTGAACACACTGAACACTGAACACACTGAACACTGAACACACTGAACACTGAACACACTGAACACTGAACACACTGAACACTGAACACACTGAACACTGAACACACTGAACACTGAACACACTGAACACTGAACACACTGAACACTGAACACACTGAACACTGAACACACTGAACACTGAACACACTGAACACTGAACACACTGAACACTGAACACACTGAACACTGAACACACTGAACACTGAACACACTGAACACTGAACACACTGAACACTGAACACACTGAACACTGAACACACTGAACACTGAACACACTGAACACTGAACACACTGAACACTGAACACACTGAACACTGAACACACTGAACACTGAACACACTGAACACTGAACACACTGAACACTGAACACACTGAACACTGAACACACTGAACACTGAACACACTGAACACTGAACACACTGAACACTGAACACACTGAACACTGAACACACTGAACACTGAACACACTGAACACTGAACACACTGAACACTGAACACACTGAACACTGAACACACTGAACACTGAACACACTGAACACTGAACACACTGAACACTGAACACACTGAACACTGAACACACTGAACACTGAACACACTGAACACTGAACACACTGAACACTGAACACACTGAACACTGAACACACTGAACACTGAACACACTGAACACTGAACACACTGAACACTGAACACACTGAACACTGAACACACTGAACACTGAACACACTGAACACTGAACACACTGAACACTGAACACACTGAACACTGAACACACTGAACACTGAACACACTGAACACTGAACACACTGAACACTGAACACACTGAACACTGAACACACTGAACACTGAACACACTGAACACTGAACACACTGAACACTGAACACACTGAACACTGAACACACTGAACACTGAACACACTGAACACTGAACACACTGAACACTGAACACACTGAACACTGAACACACTGAACACTGAACACACTGAACACTGAACACACTGAACACTGAACACACTGAACACTGAACACACTGAACACTGAACACACTGAACACTGAACACACTGAACACTGAACACACTGAACACTGAACACACTGAACACTGAACACACTGAACACTGAACACACTGAACACTGAACACACTGAACACTGAACACACTGAACACTGAACACACTGAACACTGAACACACTGAACACTGAACACACTGAACACTGAACACACTGAACACTGAACACACTGAACACTGAACACACTGAACACTGAACACACTGAACACTGAACACACTGAACACTGAACACACTGAACACTGAACACACTGAACACTGAACACACTGAACACTGAACACACTGAACACTGAACACACTGAACACTGAACACACTGAACACTGAACACACTGAACACTGAACACACTGAACACTGAACACACTGAACACTGAACACACTGAACACTGAACACACTGAACACTGAACACACTGAACACTGAACACACTGAACACTGAACACACTGAACACTGAACACACTGAACACTGAACACACTGAACACTGAACACACTGAACACTGAACACACTGAACACTGAACACACTGAACACTGAACACACTGAACACTGAACACACTGAACACTGAACACACTGAACACTGAACACACTGAACACTGAACACACTGAACACTGAACACACTGAACACTGAACACACTGAACACTGAACACACTGAACACTGAACACACTGAACACTGAACACACTGAACACTGAACACACTGAACACTGAACACACTGAACACTGAACACACTGAACACTGAACACACTGAACACTGAACACACTGAACACTGAACACACTGAACACTGAACACACTGAACACTGAACACACTGAACACTGAACACACTGAACACTGAACACACTGAACACTGAACACACTGAACACTGAACACACTGAACACTGAACACACTGAACACTGAACACACTGAACACTGAACACACTGAACACTGAACACACTGAACACTGAACACACTGAACACTGAACACACTGAACACTGAACACACTGAACACTGAACACACTGAAC